TAGAAAGGAAGACTTAGGGAATTATTGACCTGTCGGTCTCACCTCTGTGCTGGGGTAGATCATGGAGCAGATCCTCCTGGAAGCTATGCTAAGGCACATAGAAGACAGGGAGGTGATATGAGATAAACAGCATGACCTCATCAAGGACAGATCCTGCCTGACTGACCTCACTGCTTTGTATGATGCTGTGATTGTATCAGTGGACAAGGAAAGAGTCACTGATGTCATCTATGTAGGCTTCAGTAAGGCCTTTGACACAGTACCCCACAATATCCTTCCCTTCAAATTGAAAAGATATGGATTTGATGGGTGGACCATTCAATGGACAAATAACTGGTTGCAAGGGCATACCCAGATAGTGATGGTCAGTGGCTCAATGTCTGATTGGAGATCAGTGACAGGTGATGTCCCTCGAGAGTCAATACTGAGACTTGTACTCTTTAGCATTTTCATCAGTGACATCAACAGAGGGATCAAGTGCACCCTCAGCAAGTTTGCAGATGACACCAAGCTGTGTGGTGCTTTTCTTTTTCTTTATATGGTTTCAGGTCTGGTCTCCTTCTCTGACTGCCCATTTGGAGCTGCACATCTTCCAGGATTAGCTTTATCTGAAGGGAGCGTAGTTTACAACATAGGAACCACCTTACAGTGCTAGTAAGAGCCCAACTGTGGGCGAGGACCCGGGGGCTGATGCTGAAATTCCCCCGTTATCTGCAACATCAGCAGACAACACTTCAGAAAAGTGAAGACGACATCTTAGAGCTAGGAAGAGAATTGCAAAATATGATGACACATGAAGGTAGAAGGTGGGCAAGATTGACCATGAGGCTTTGAATTTAAGTATTTCAAGTAGTTCAAATTGATTTTTTAAAATGACTTAGTGATGTTCTTCATATTATTAGGTGTCATGTGAATGTTCCATTTTTGTATGAGAGTAAATAAATCATGCAGCAAACATGGAGTATTTTTTATCTGTGGTATTTTCTTTCTTGACAAAATGTCAGTCTTTCCTTCCATCTTTAATAACTTCAGAAAAAGCTTTCTTACTCCCAAGAAAAAATGGAATTTTATCTCCTCATCTGTTATCTCTTCCTATCAAATTTATGCTGGCTTATTTAGACATCTCACAGTACTACTGAATGAGAAATCAAGAAAAGAAAACTTATTTTCACTATTTTCAAGGGTTTTAAAATAATGGCATACTTAAGTATATGCAAGTTATCTAAGGTCAATTTCACTGTGTGTTAAGCATAATGTATATTCTCTCTGCGTGCCTTGTCAAATTGAGTGCATGCAGCTAAAGAAGTCTGGCTGCAAGTATGCAGCAGTAAGAAAAAGCATGGAAATTTATCTTGATGTTTCCACAGTTTTGTTACTGCTGCATAATATAATCCTGTATTGTATGTACTTTTACGATAAAGTTATAGCAATGCTAATTTCAGATTTAGATCAAAGGGCTGCATCCCCTCATGAATTATTATTCGTATATATACTTTGCTTGTACTTGTATCTGGAAAAGCTATTATGATATGTGCTTTTTGCTTAACAACACCAAGAAAGAGTCTCACAATCCATGCACCCGTACAGTTGCAGAGCTTGGCAGAAATGACTGTTATCCTGTCCCATGTATAGAGCTTTCACTGAGCGCCCTTCATTCAGTAAATGAAGATGAATGCTTATTAGGAAAAAAAGGGCTTGCTGTGATCGACTTCCCAAAAATAATCAGAATGAGACACGCAACCTGAACATTAGGCTCTTAATGGCTGCTTTGGAGTGAACTGAGGAAGGCTAAGGATCCTTGGCTGCTTGCACTGAGTCATAACTTTTTAAACAAGGCCCTAAGTCAGAGCTATCAGTCCTGTGGTGCTGTTTTCCTGGCTCATGATAAGCCTGTCTCTTTCTGTCCCAGGCTTGGGCCTGTGATTTAACATAGTAATGACAGCAATTGCTAGCCCCAAAAACATCCTTAGCAACTCTCATCTAATACAAATCACTTATTCTTTGTGAAAGATGAATGAGTCATGCAAGTAACAGACGGCACATTAAGAGTACATTGTTGAAGTGTGCTTTAAGTAGTTATGTGGCAGATAATGATGTGAGGTCAAATAATTTAATTTTTGTACACTATCCTTTTTTGTACATTACCAGCAGACCACCCTCTATGATGAAGGATCTCCCAGTAATATACTGGATACTTACTGGAGAGCATTAGGAAATTCATTATTCTTTTTTCACAATAGCTCTTTACGTGTTTTTAAAGTCTTTTTTTTGTTATATAAATGGCTTTGAAATCTGTGGACCAAACCTTTGTAAAATATCACTGGAAAAAAGAAAACAGATGCAATCCTCATGCCATAAAATTAAATGAGCTTTTTTAGACAAAGTATAGCATACCACTTAGCTATTAATTTTACTTCTACATCATAAAAGCCCTAGGCTATCCTTTTATGTATCTTTAAGCATAGCGAAGTTGGTTTCCCCCCCAAAAAAACAAACCTCTGCTTTATTTTTGTTATACTAAGAAATGTAACAGTGCAATTATTTTCAAAAAGTGAAATTAATTGATTTTAAAAGATTGCCTCCTTCAAGTGGCGCTGTATATGAAATAGATTTACTTTAGATAGTTAGTAGAGTAGCACATAAAGGAAAACATTTTGAAAAAAAAAAAAAAGAAAGAAAATGTCTCACTCATTAAATGAACCTTGCAAGAAAAGGAGAAACTTCCAGAGTTTATTGCAGGTTTGGCTCCTCAGATTTTGAGCTGAAATTCTCTCCAAGAACAGAAGATGATAATCTTTTACTCAGATGTAATATTTTGGGGATGATCCCGCTGGAAATAGGGGTTATGTCCTGAATGTTGACAGTTTTTTTTTTAATAAATCAATTATTCTTTTGTTCATATTCTTTGCACTTTATTTGCAGCAGTTTAGCAGTCTGTAGACCAACAATGCAAGAAATTGAAGATCAACTCACAAATACATTGATTTCAACTTTTGTACTAGGTATCCATGCATACTGTTCACTCAATCTCTAGAGTTTTGTACAATATCTTACCATTCCTAGCAATGTAGCAGACAGTTATATGGGGGACATATCTATGTTCCCACAGAGAACAAGTGGTCTGAGCAGGAGCCTGTAAAGATGGAAGGTGTAACCTGGAGAGACAGTTACAGGAAGCAGGTCCTATGGGAAGGAAGTGACAAATCATGTCAGCCTTAGTAAATGGAGGCTTGTGTTTTTTTCATTCTTAGCAGCAGTCTTTGGTGTTGGTGGTGAATATGTGTGGAAGTGCTCTGGAATGGATTCTGGAAAACAGAAATCAAGAAATTGTATATGGTGGAGAGATCTGTTTTGACAGGGAATGTGACAGGTTTGGGTCTTTCAAACACAATTTTTATGAGGCACACTTATTTTTTTTTCTTATTTAATTCTTTGTGAACTGTCTCTTTAATATCTGCATTTAAACTCTCTAACATTCAGACTCAACATAGTCATGATGAAAAGATGAATACTGATGCTTTCAAGGTGGAAATCCAACTCCTGCAGTAGTAATCCTCATTTATGTATTCATCATATGTATGAAGTTTGCCATTGTCTTCCATACTCTTATCCTGCTGGACTAATAGTCTTGAGTTGATTTTGTTCATAAATAGGATTGAATTTTCAAACCATCACCCTATGCATCTTAATACTTGGAAGGAATAAAGAAGCCTCTCATCTCCTACACACTACTTTGTAATTTTACTACTGTGCCAACAGATCCATTTTAGAGTATTAGTCCTGACATGCAGAGCACACCATAATCTAAGCTGTGACTATTTGATTGATTCTTTTTCTTAGTTTTCTCCCTAAATGTGATGCCATCAGGATCTGGTGATTGCAGTTTTCCCTTCACAAGTACTACAGATTTGGGAACAAGACTCTCACATGCTGAACTTTTTCTTCAGCCACTGGGATAATTCCCACAATAGTCATTGATATATGTTTACTGCACATATGCTTGGTTTTAGTTCATAAAACTGATGAAATTTTTCTTTAAAAACTAGGAACTGGTCATCAGGCTGTAGGAAATCCACCCCAGCTAACCATGTTTCATTCTTTCCAGCTTTACTCTTTTATATTCCCTTTTTCTCTAACACACCTAATATTTAAGAATCAACAGGGCTGTTTTGCAGCATGTGCAAGAATATTTGTTAGACCTTTAAAAGTTCAGCTTTTTGGTATCATCATTAATGTTGGTTTTTTATCATTGCTGACATGAACAAATGAAGCACTAAACTAGACTCATCCTTATTTATATTAATCAAATTGTCGATCTGGAGTGCTTATTCTCTCTTCTATTTGAATTATAGGTCTCATAACTTTATCCGTCTACAAATAAAGACAATCAGAGTATTAAAACAGAGCTGAAAGTCAACTGGATACATTTATTAAATTACTTAAGATATTTTGTATCTTTTGTTAAAGAAAAGGCATCCTGAAAGTCTCACTCGAACTGGTCAAAATTGAGGAATATGATTAAATGTTTGGATACTGTTAAGGAGAGAATTCAGTCCATCTTCCATTCAGGGGCTCCCTTCCTGATGCTAAACACAAAAAACAGACCCTCTATTCATAGAGGCAAGTCAGGTGTGTAATATGGTCATAAAGACATATTAGTGAAAAATAAATATTTTTAATATTGTATAGATGCAATTTTTTTTATATGAATACAGAGTAAAGATTAAAGTAGTTATTCACATACTCATACTTGTAACTGCTGGTGGCTAATGTCACCACAGCTGAAACACACTACTCACTGCCTTACTGTGCTCACATTCACTGACTGGTCTCTGCAAATGTTCAGCAAGCTTTGATGAATGTTAGTGGTGATATTCTTTCCACATGGAGCAATTTAATGATACACCTTTGCTTCTGACACCATTCTATCAGAGTGACCCTCTGCCACCATCTGTCACACGGCAACAGCATGCAATGGAATATTGATGGGAAGATTCAACTTCTACTGCCATACTACCAACATCCACCTTTGATGTCATAGGCCAACATCATAAAGTAGGAGGGACTACTTTCAGAGTAGCTCTTGAAGATGCAGAAGGACCACATACAGGTACACGCTGATGCAAAATATCTTATGAAGTTTGAGCCTATGGGTGAATAAAGATTCTGAATGTTAGACTGGGTATCTTGTACAATTACTATTAATAATTCATTACATGATATAAACAGGGTATCAACAAGTCTATTCTGAATGCATTTCCAAAGCATGTGATGAGGCCATTGGCACAATTTCAAGTCAATGTATCACTCAGGAATACTGAAAGAGACCTCTTATTCTATTATTACTCTCAAATTGCAGTACTCCAGAAGTTAGCTAATTAGCAGCCAAGTATGACAGTTTCATCCTGAGATGGTTTCCTGTCTGTGAAAGGATATCAGTTTAAAGTACTTGTTGCTATGATTTAGTATTGTATATCACAGAAGTGGGCTTCAAGGCATTTGCAGATTTTCTTCTTGAGGGCTCTAAGTGTTTTGCTGAACATGTTCCAAAGAGCCTGACTATTCAAAAAAACATGGATGCTGACTTTGCTTTAGTTTTTGTCGCTTCATGATAATTATTTATATTGGTAAGTGAAAAGATAGATGACTGAACTCAGCGTAAAATAAAAGCTGACACAAGCACAGAGCTCAAGAAAAATCCAAGCCAGTCTATTTTTCTAGGTTGGAAATCGCATGTTAGTGAAGGAGAAAGAGAAAAGAAGATTTTGAGGAAACATATAGAAAAATTAGTTTGAATTATTTTAAGCAGCTTTTATAGTGGTAATTTGAGCCTAATAATTTTTCACTGTACATTCTACGGCATTCTTATTTTAAAACAGATATTTTATGAGGGTTTTTTTTTAATAAGTAATTAATGGCATTAATGATGAATACATGATGCATGATCTGAAATTTGGAACATGAAGCTGAAGATCTATTTAACGTATTCCCATGAAATGGAAAATAAGAATAGGTAGATTTCAAGGTATGTTCTACTTTAGACACATGAATAGCTTGACAGCAGACACACAATAGCTTGAGTTCTTTGGACATTCCCAAAAAATTGGTTTTGTTTGTTTACTTGAGTTGGATTTTATTTCTAAGAATGCTTACAGATAAAAAGTAAAACTTTGCCAGCATAACTGATTTCCATCCAACTTAAAGCCACTGAATATCACAAATTTTGTACCAAATTTTTTTGTTGTGTTGTTGTTTGTATGTAACTGTAATCTTTAGCCTTCTTACTTGGAGTCTGTCGGAGTTCAAACTTCGTTCTTGAAGTTATTATCATCTGACCCTTCTGAAATGGCAGGGTTTTTTTGCAATTATTTCAAAAATGTAATTTTTCTAAAGCTGACTAGATATATGCTTTTATAATAATTATCATTTAATACCACAGCCTATATATTTCTATTTGTCTCATATAATATCCTGTCTAAAAAACATCCCTTTTGTTATCTCTGCTAAAAAGCAGTGAAGGCTAATTTAGTAATTAAATGGGAGTTGAACACTTCAGCACAAGTGAATGGGTCTGAATACAGGTCTTCTCATGTGCAGTCAGTCCCAATGGCAAATTTTGATTTAAAAACATTAATTTTGATATGCCCAGATTGCACAGTTTTTCACGTTGTACACACAGATCAGTTATGTAGGTCAACCCTGGTTTATCTGGAGGCCCATCCGACTCATCATAGTCAGAAGTTTGTATTGCTGTTTCTGCATAATCAATATAGTTTAATTGACTTTACTTATTTTTCCAACATGACCTTTATTAAAGAAAGCATTTAAGTTTCTTTGAATCTAGCTGAAGCTAGTTGATGTGCTTATTATCTAATACTAATTCGTGCTTCTCAAAATTTTTAGGCTTTTTGAGACCACGGTATAATAAATAGAAAAACTAAAACCCATGTTTAATGCAGTAGTCAGTAGCAGTGTGAAGAGTAAACCAATAAGATTTGTTGTTCCTCACACATCTGTTTTTGTGGGTTTTTTTTTCTCTCTAAATACTGTATTTAAAATATGAACTTCTTCAGGCTAATGGATATTTCCAATTAAAATTAAAAAACAGATAAGTTAGAGGGATTGTTAACTAATGTCTGACAATCAGCCATATGCAAAGTTTACAAAAAGCAAGTGGCTTTCATTATTTCCAATAGAGGCTGAGAGTTACAGGATTAGAGAAATTGATTCCAATTATTTAGGATCCCATTCCAAGTGCATATAATAAATCAAACCATAAGTGGCATCAGCCTCACTGAAATACAGCAATCGCACCTATACTGCAAAAGAATATGCGCTCAGCCATCGGCACTTTCTTTTTACTAGGAGAATTTCAGGTATGTGATGAAATTCCAGCTACATGGTCATAAGTAGCATTTTGTGGCATGTAAACTTTGGATGACTAAGATTTAGTTATAAAATAACATAACACTCCATAATGGGAAATCTTTTTAAAGCTGAGTGGTTCCTTTTATTCTCTATATATCAGCTTCCTAAAGGCTTTTCAACAGTTTGAGCCATTTTCTAAAATTACCACAGCTGCTTCACATTAGTTACAGGGTTTTGTTGCTAAGAAACCTTTAGCTTTCGAAGTAAGTCTTACTAGTTTCTTAAACTAGATATTTTTGCTGTTTGTTGTTTATTCTCAGCAAAACACTATTGAAATCTGGTATAGCTTTTCCCTCCAAACCTATCCAAAGTGTGAATGCTGTTTATAATGGCATTGTCTTAGATGATGCTGTCTTAGCCCTATTAATTAGGCAAGTCACTTTTCTGGAGGCTCCTTTATGTTTTGTATTTTCCGTGTTTTTCTTCAGAAGGCTTTTGTTTTGTATTTGTTTTACAGTGTTGACAATAATCATGATTTCATTAACAGACATGTTTAAAAACTGAATCCAAGAAGTTCATCAGAAATGGCAGGTAGCATCCATAGGAAGAAGGTAGCACATACCTAAGAGAAAAAGATTTCCTGACTTTTGTTCACTGAGCAATCAATGTGGCATATACAACACGCTCAGTGCCACCATTTAAGTCTGGTAACTAGTTCCATTGTTTAGAAGTTGACATCCAGGTCCCAGAAGGAGCAGTCTAACAGTAAGCTCCTTCTAGAATTTGGGTAATGGTGGAAGTGGGGAAGAAAGAAGTATGTGATAGGTGAAAATGAGTAAGGAGTTACAGGAATACTCGTGTCAGGAATGTAATCAGAAGGAATACATTAGTCCTGGAAGAGGGATTGAATTAAAATATATACACCTGAATGCTTCCCAAATGTTGCACTGATCTTTTCTTTCATGACAACCTAATGCATCCACCTCAGCTAGGCACAGATGATGAATCTCAGCTGAAAAAAATCAGATGGTTGGAGACTACAGAGTGCTGGGCTTCCAGCTTTCAGTGCAGGAAATGGCAGAAGAAAGCAGGTGATCTACAGGAAGATTTACAGAATTGCTGCCTGGACAGGAAAAGAAACTACCCATGGAACTTCTCCAGACAACCTGCCAGAAAGAGGAATAGGTTGGTAAAATTAAAGTTATTGTAATGTTTGCCTTTTTTTAGCATTAGTTTAGCATTAGTAAGTTGCACCACCGAATACTTGATTTTTTTGGTTCTAGAGTCACAGCAAAAAAGCACTTCTCCTTTTTCTGTTCCTTTTCTTTCCTTTTGCTTGTTTCTTCACTAAATGAATTGTAACAGAGCTAGTAGTGAAGCCCTGAAAGCTGTGGAGCACAAACACAGATAAACAGCGCTTGAGAGAAAAGTTATGCCAGTAGCTCTAGCCAAAGAAGGATGAAAATACTAATGTAATTTTTAATAATTTTTTTATCAGAATGAGTGGAATTAACATCTGGAAATTAAGCACGGACAAGGAAAATCAGTGTTTATTATAACGGGAGACAGGAGCGGATTGAGTCCTCATATGTTTAGTTCTGTCCAATAAACTAAACCAAGGGATGAAAGGCAAAACATTTCAATGTGCAGATCTTAAAACTCCAGAGAATTGAATGATCTATCATTTAACCACCTCATTGTTTACTGCTGAAGCGCTGATCTCGATAAAGAATTTCAAAGGTTTGGCACGAGAAGAAAAGGGAACAAAACACAGTGTAGAAATAGAATATAATACCTACCATTTAATTAATTACAAAGGAATTATTCAGGTTAGATGTGAAGGAAAACTAACGTTAAAGACTGCTGCACACATTATTTCAGAAGGGGAGTGGAATTTCCACTGTTTGAACTTTTTTAGAATAAATTTGACAAACTGTTGGTGATCGTTGTTGTAGCAGATTCTGCCTTGCAACAGACAGAGAGGCTTCTCCAACAGGATGTGATATTATAGTAGTCTGTAGGCAGAACTTCTGTTAGTTCAGGGTAAGAAATGCTTAAAAGACACTGAAATCTACAGATCTTTGCAGTTCTTGCTTCTCTGGAAAAGATGTCACTACCACGCCGATCTCAAGTATTACTGCAGAGATACATGGATACAACCACAAGTCAGGAAAATGCATGGTAACTAACTCCAGGTTAACATGCAGCTGAATATATGGAATAGATATTATCAGTGTAAAATTAGAAGGACAAAATGCATAATAATCCTTAGAAAAATGAAAGGAAATATTTGAAATTAAGCAAATATTTTCTGTTGTAGCACTACAGTCACTGTAATCATGGAAAGAAATGGTAAAATCTGTATACTGTTCTTGGAAATCTATGCTGTTGTTAATGGTAAATATGAAGAATCTATTGGATGAATTACACAGTATTTGGCCATGCTATGATACATAATGTTGAAATGCAAACTCAAGATTGAGTTAGGCTGGAATAATATTTCAACCACAAGGGAACATGATATTTTTGTAAAAAAAAAAGTCTTGTGATTTGTATAATGAAATTTCCACTGCATTATTTATTTGTTATGTCTGACAGTGCATTCAGTCGTGTACAAGACAAACTAAGAAGTTTTTCTGCCCTGGGGACTACATAGCCTTAGGCCTCAGTCCTAGAAAGATTTATGTTTGAATAACTCAAGCAATTTTGCTGGGATTTAAACACAATGCTGAATTTACAAAATTGGTTCATGTGGCCACTGAGTGGGATTACAGTCCAGAACATGGAAGGAAGATCATGTCATGGCATTACTAGTTATTTGACCCATACTTTAAGTATTATGTTTAATACAATGAAAAGCGTGTGTCTCTGCTGTAAGGAATTTGTTTTCCAAAAACAGATAACTTGGAAGTCAATAAAAAGTAGAGATCACAGAGAGGAATGACCCTTAAGAGAATCTTCCAAATCTTGTTTTTAACCTTACCTATGATCAATTGGACAGCCTTCAGTCTATAGTTTTATTGGCAATCATGTGCCCCACTCAAGCAGCATGCACTGCTGAGCTGGACAGGAGAGCTGTGAGACTGAATTCTCTGAAGATATTTAAGAATCCAGTTGCTACTGAGATCTTTTGGAATAGACTGCCTAATCCAGAAGATTCAAGCACTGTACAACTATCCTTATCCTTAGAATTTTTCTATGTTCTTTGAACAATGTCATCATAGTAGTGATATCTTTGTGCAGAGCCATGTGCGTCCAAAAGAGAGAGCAAAATAACATAAATTCCACTTCATTTTTTAAAATTATTCCTCTAGTCTAAGCGAACTCAAAAACCTTTGGAAAAATATTCACAAATAATGGCACATAGTTGCCAAATACCTGAGTTACATTTTGAAACCTACTGGTGAAAACTCATACTAACAACGATGCTCATATATATTTGAATCCTGAAGACTTCCTTCAAGTTATACGATATACACAATTTAGGCATTGTGTAAAAGGACTGAAAAGGTTTTTTTCCCATTGATTTATCTCTTATTTGGCTGTATCCATATACAGAAAGAGACTACCAAGAAATATTTACCAATTGAGGCCAAATACTCTCTTTTGCTTAGCCTAGGTCTCCCTGGTACCAATAGAATCTCCACATGCATATACTGAAAAATGTTGCCTATTATATTTAACAAATAGCTCCAGTGGTAACTATCAGTGTCGGGCACTTAGGTTAATGCTGGAAGTGGCATTTTCAGCCACGGTGGAAAAGTTTATTCTTTCCTGTTTCACAAATTTTCAATGATCAATAATACTCTTACTCTAGATGGCACAAACAAAAGGCTGTGCAACAAATAAAATGCTCTTAATACTCACAGTGCTTTTGGAAAATATATGAACTATTATTTTTCCTTGTCTTTATGGAGCTCAACTGCTAACTGTAAAAAATAATATTAAAATAATAATAATAATTAAAAAAAAAAAACCTTGTTTAAAAAAAACTTCCTGTCCCTTCCATTAGTTACAGAAAATCCTGTGAGGATACCTGAAGCTTTCAAAATTGTGAAACCAGTTTCTAAGTTAGCATTTTTGTTAGCCTCTATAGAAAATCAGATTGAAATTGCTTGTATCTATGTTGCACTGCTAGCAATCTCATGTTTCTTTCTTCCTCAAGACTGACCTGAATAGCTTTATTTTTTCACAGTTTTGAGACTGCTGACAGTTTCTTTGTTTTTGTTTTACTGAAGGAGAAAGGAGTAAGAAAGCCCTAACCTCACAAAATAACCTTTCTACTCCACAGTTCCTTCTGAATAGCAGGATAACCCTTCGTATAACCCCTGAGTGGGAAGAACCCATTTATATTTTCAGTGCAAAGTATGTGTGCTCACCTTTTACCACTCTGTTCCCCAAATCTTCCTTATATGAGTCAGCTGAGGAACTGTGAGTCCACAAAGTGAAATTGACTATCTTTTCAAACAGTAAAAAATATGGTGAAGAAAACTGAAATTACAACATACAAACAAAACTAACTTCATTATGTAGCACTGGCACCCAGCAAATATTGACCTGGATTCCACTGTGCTCAGCACTGCCAGCTGGGAAGCAGCCTGATAGACTCTATCCAAGCAAGAGCTGGAGAGATGACAAGACTAAAAAGTATCATATGGTAAATTACACTGAAAAGCAACCTACAAAAAGTTCCACTGCTTGTTAGGTTGTAAAGCAAGAAAATGGAGACATGAAGTAACTAAAGTAAGGATTGTGATGTTGAATTGCTATGCTGCAGTTGTCTTGCTGAAGTATAGAATGAAACAAACAAACAAACAAACAACAAAAAAAAAAGTATATATCTTTTCTGTTTCCATGATATTGTTGTTTCTTTGTCCATGTAAATAAATTTTCCTCTTGTCCAGTGAATGTAGGGAAAAAAATAAAAATGTGGAGTTTTAAAAGCTAAAATTACAGCTAGATACTTTTTAATGTATTTAATGTAATTTAATACCCTTGCTGTCTCTGTTTGCATTCATTAAGATCGTTCAGCTCTTTGCATTCAGTTTTAATTGGAGAGAAATTAGAGTAAATCCTGTTTAAGCAACTTTTCAGTTTTTATAGAAAATAAGTAGTTGGACTTCTTCACTAATATGTGAAGCTAGAAAAGCATGTTGAGTGCATAGCCTATTGCAGCTGAATGCCGGGGAGGCAGGAGGGAGGGAGGAAGGGGGGAAAAAAATTTCCTTTTGTTTTGGAGAAACCACAAAACTTTCTCTGAGGTTTTATTGTTGTTATTTCAAAAGTTAAGTGTCTACAGGAGTATTTCTTCATGGAAATTACTTCTAACCATCACAAAAGTAGAGGCTCTGGTCTTTGTGGATTAGTACTTGAGAACAATACTCAAACCATTTTAGAAATCATGCCTGCCCACGGAAGCATTTCAAGTAAAAAAGAAAATGTTTGCTTTTGAGTGTGAGTTGATATCCATTGGAGCAGAAGTGTGTTTTACACATGAGGAAAACAGTACATTGATACTCCATTCTTTGTCTTGTTTTGAACCAAGAGTATAGATTGCAATTTATGCATTGGATTAGCAGGTATGAAAATAGATTTGTCTCTCTTCTCCATGTCAAATGTTGATTGACTTGTGAAAGGCAGTTCATAGGCTAAAAGCAGGACAAGTTCTACTTTTCTACATTTTGCTGGTTTAACCAATATCACTATGAGCACAAGTTTCTTATTTCAAAGAAGTTGAGAGTTAATTGGTTCTGCAATAAATCTAAATAGATCCCTACATCTCAGTTCAAATGAAGGAAAATAACCAAACACTGAATTATCATTACTGCAGAATATTTTCCCCAAGAAACAAACCTTCAGGAAAAGTTCTTTATCTTATCATAAAATGCAAAGTTTATTGTACTAATTTGTGTTGTTGTTTCTGTAATGAGACAAGCCTGTGGAAAACTCAAATCTTGCTTCTATGATGACCATCCAGTGTAAACCAGAAATAGACAAGAGATTATCAGTTTATTTAAGGCTTTTGTCTTGCCTAAATACAGGTGTCATTTTAAAATGGTCACCCTTAAAATGTTTTCTGCAAATGGCAAAAGAGCATAATAAATAAGTACTTTCACAGTGCTTCATGACAAAGAATGAGCTCTGCAAGGGGAGAAACTGAGTTGAACAATTACCAATGCTCTCTTCAGAAACATTCCTTCCTTGAAAAAATGTTTCCTGTGAGAAACATTAATTAGCTACCTGAAAGTACAACTTATTTATATTACTTATTACAACAAGTCATTTTATTTTGTTACTACTCACACGTATTTATATTTAAAATACAGTGTTAAAGTTACCTGATAGTGAAATGCTACCATTCGCTCTTTTTTCCTCCTCACCACGATCATACCAGTGCATTAATTTATTTTTTTTTGAGTTCACAGGATGATGATTATGATTATGATTATTATTATTTTGGCTACATTAAATCCACAAAGTAAGAACTAGTAAGTTTTTGCATGGAATTGAAATACTTCTCACAATGCTTTTACTTCTGAAATATTTAAAGTAGTTTAGAAATATTATTTTTCAATGAGAAAGTGGTTGGTTCATGATAGATCGTAGGGGAAAGTTGTACCTTTTCTGTGAAAGATATGCAGTTGAAATAGAAGGGGGAAAAAATCAAATTATGGTCAATTTCTTGTATTTCCACATTTCATATATAACTAGAATTTAAATGATTTTCTTATCATTATGATTTTTCAAAGAAGACATGGAGCTTTTTTTTTTTTAACCTCGAAGTTGTAATGTGATCCCACTGACATTACTATGATGATTCCCAGTAAACACAGTGCAACAAGGCCAGCTAAAATTGTTGGAGTAATTTATGACTCAGTAGTAGAGAAAAGAGCAGAAGATGGCTGTGACCCCACAGTTCTCAAGCTGCCCTGGATTTATGTGAAGTTAGAGCTGTGCGTACAGAACAGAGTTCTGTTCGCTGGAACTTAAATGCTGGCCAAAGCACAGAGAAAAATCTTTTCTGTTTTAGTACTTCATATTAATTTGTAATAGATATGTATAAAATATATAGAAATAAATTATCATGTGAAGTGTTTTGTTTCACAATATCTAGCATCAGTAGCTGAGATAAGTAGACTCTGTTATTTCTTCATGTAAAGGATCTGACTGAAAGAAGTCAGCATTTCTGTTAATTATTTTAATGGAATAGTAAATTCACATGTGTAACAAGAAATAACAAGCTGGAGGTAAACAGTGATAAGTATACTTAGTAATAGAATGAAATAGAATGAATAGATGAAAAGTATGTTATATTTGGATCATAATCATATTTCCCTGGTGTTAAATCCTGTACTGTATTTCCTACTTCTCAGGTAATAACTCCAAGTTAGCCACCTATTTTTAAAAGCTGTTTCTGAAGCAGAGGATGTGAATGCTGATCTGCCCTCCTGTAGAGCTGCTCATGGATAAGATAATACGTCATGCCAAATATTTTTAGAATTGTAACTAATTGATAACCCAAATCCTTGCCCTCAAAATAGTATGATAGTCTTCAAAAAGTGCTGAGTACCTACGAAACAAAAATTGGGTTTCTCTGATAATTGTTTTCCCCTTATCATTTCTCTTTTAGAATGGTAGAGGGGATGTCAGTGTGGTATCTCTGAGCTAAGACTGTCAGTCTCTCCCTTAATTCAAGGGCCCGAATGCCAATATGCCAATAACAATTTACAGAAGCCAGAAATGCAAATGTTAATATGATTTGTTAGACACTTGCCTTACACTTTGCATATGGTTCTGTGCATGTCTGCCACTTTGCTGCTAAAAGTACACGTTTTCCAGAGTTCTCCTTGCAAGTAAAACAAGTAGATCTGCCAGAATTTCATTATTTCCTTCCTAATACATTACTCCACAGTTTAGCTTGAAGTCACGTACAGTATCTTCAGTTTCTCCTGTTGAGTGTAGATACTAATGTTTAAGAGTCCCCAAAGATGGTGAAAGACACTGGAAGGAAACATGATTCCTATGAAGATGATGAAAATATTGAAGATCAGCCAGAATAGATAATAAATAACATAAAAGAAAGATCCTGTTCTCTAGTGTTCCTGAGAGCTATTCTAAGCACTGCTTATGTCAGCCTTTGGCAGCGTGGTGGAAAGGGGATTCACATTGGCTGGATGCAGTAAGTAAATGAAGATTTTCATCCAGGATGACTATCATTGAATTGTTGTGCTAGGTGGAGAAATATAATTCCTTAACAATCTGATATCTCTGCATTTAGCTTGTTTCATTCACAAACATAAATCGAGTATCTTTTTTTCCAGTTTCCCTGAAAGCTGGTCTAGAGGGGCAAGTATCTAGCATCCTCATCTCTAAGGGATACCATTTTCTGGCCAGGCTAGGAGATTAGAAATCCCTTAGAGACAGGATGTAGCAGTGCTCAGAGACAGCTGGGCTTCTAGGCTCTTCTCGCTGCATGACACAAGCCAGGATTTAAGCAGAGGAGCAGGAAGTAAGTCAAAACTCACTGGGGGGGTTATAAAAACTTCAAGCAAACTATGGCAAAACATTTCTCTTACAATCAATTAGCAAATTATTTTTGAAAGACTATATTAACATTAGCTTATCCGTTTATAACATCACTGAGTTCTGTTTCCTATTTATTACAGTGTATGGGAAGAATTCAATCACAGAAATTGAAAAAGAAATTGAAAAAACTCTTCAAAGTATAAGTTTAAATAAGTCTTCACAACTTTTGGAAGCTTAATTTATAGTTCCACTATTAATAAAATTAATATATGCAAAATTTCTTGTTTTTCCTTCAAAACTTAACTTCCCTATAGTGCCATGCTGTGATTGAAATATATTTATCAAAATGTATTACATTTTTATAGCTTAAATAATAAAATAATTTGACATTTATTTAACTGAATTCTTCACCAAATCACATAAATGAATAAATTAAAACTTGAATTTCCTCAGTAAACTTATTTTCTTTCAAGTACATCAAGTAGCTGCACTTAGTTTCATAGGATTAGCTTTAAAGATAATAACTTTAGTTTTTTTATTGACTAGATGACATGGTTCAGCCTGTAATAACCTTCTCTCCAGTAGGACCTCAGTGTAGGTTAATCAGCATGGGTTTTTTCAGTCAGGGTTAGGATAATCTTTTCTTTCTCTTCGGAAGTTGCAGCTCATGATTTTCTGACTCAGAAGAGGTGTTCACACAAGGATGCTTCTTTGGAATAGGTCTGCTCATTAATAACTTTGAAAGCTTCTCGTTCAGGATACAATAAATGGTCATTAGAACTTGTGTAGATGGTGCAATAGAAATTAGAAGATAAATTGAAACAAATAGGATGAACCGAAATACCAGACTTTGAAATAAAGAGATACATAATGGCTAGTAGCCATATGTATGGGAACTGCTTAATCATGGCCTGAACCTCTGAGTGATCACCTGAAGCAAGCAATGAGTCAGCCATGGGAACAGAAGTGAAGGCAATTCACCTGTGCTGACGGAAGGGGTGGAGCCTGGCTACACCTCTCCTAGACCCGTTTAAGAGCTGACTACCAGGAGGAAAGGATCTCTTCTGGAGATCCCTCCTCTGGAGCTTTGCAGCAAGCCCAGGTCACAGGTAAGCTTTCTATCTATTCTCTTTTTGTTATTATAATCTGCTTTGCCAAACTCTTTTGTTTGTTTCATAATTATAGCATCTTTGTATTCACTGACTATGTACCATATATCTTAGATGTCTTGTTCCCTGGAGTTAACAATGAATTGCAAAGTCTCTGTCGGCTTTGGGTTGAGTTGATCTCCCACCTACAAAAATATCCTTTAGAAGCTCTCTCTTTAAATCTTTGCATCCCTTATCCCAAATTATTATTTCTGGTATTGGGGTCTCAATGTCAACTGTTGCTAAGTGTCATAAAATAAATCACATAAAGATAAAGCATGCTCAGTCTCTATAAATGTGATAGAAGTCAGTGCTGTGTAGGCTGGGAGCCTTCTGATTTGGAATGGAAACAGAATCCCTGAGCTTCCTAAAAGGAAATACTGCATGTAGACCCACCCTCTGAATCACTTCACTGAAATACTAAGCTAATATTATCAGAAACATTTATCTATAATTTTTGCAAAGTTCATTGGTACTAGTGGGTTTCCAACTCTAAATATGTTTTATATTTGTTTAAAATTTGAAATAATTGGGACTGGTATTAATTGTGCCAGTGCAGCAATGAGTCAGAGTTGTTTTACTGCCTTAGTGAACTTTTGAAGAAACTTAATTGTCTGGTTGAGTTACTATATGTTCTATAAACATGCAGCAGGAGAATTAATCAAATCATTTTCTTATTAACAATGGAGAAAACTTGGAGCTCTCAAAGTTATTAATTTATAATGTTAAGAGATGTACTGTTGGCTAGCAAATGCCTTAGGATAAGAACAAGATCATTTCATGAAACTAGTACATTATTATAAAACAGATTTAAAAGTACTTCTTTTTTTCCTCAAAAATTTTGGGAAATTTTGGTACTTATTTTTAAAGGAGATTGTGGAAGCACATGAGAGAAGAATATTCAACAAAATTTCTTAGAGGACAGTGTGGCTGTATATGGATTCTAGAATGACTAGGAAAGGGTGTACCCTCTTATATCCCAAAAGCAACAATCGTGGATTTTGGGAGTGTGAAAGTAAAAAGGACTGCACAAAGTAGCAGCCTTGGGCCTTCTCTTTAAATATCTCATATTTATGCTTTTTGAAATGGAATACAAGTCTGGGCAGACTACCAGCCTAACACAGTATCGCACTTACACTCTGAATGGTCTTTGGGTGTTACTGAATTGGGAGAACTGGTGGCTTACTTTCAAGCAAGGCTGAAAAAGTAGTTTAGATTAGTAAGTAACTGAAAATTTTGGATTCACAGCAATGCTGGTTGACCTGTTTTCCAGATCTTCCTTCCCTGTAGTGACTTCCCTACTTCTAAGGCTCTTGGAGCAATCAGATCAACACTGAGCTCTCAGTTGTACCTCTTCTGGGGAGACAGGTCCCTGTTTCAGCACACAGTCATGATCTGTCTTTAGAAGAGCACAAGATCTCTAGAGGCAGAGGAGGATATTTAGCACAGAGTCAATTGATTAGAAAGCTCACAGATGAAGTTCTGGAATCAAACTCGTGCACGGCAGTAAGAAAACAGGCTCTGCACAACAGGTTGCAGGTGAATTAGATTTTTTCCTGTTAAAACAAAGTCTTTGTGCACCTGGGCAGAGAGGAGTTGTGAAAGGCCAGATGAAGACAGAGACCTGAAGTTCTAATACGTGATTCCAGTATGATTTTGAATTTTATCCAGTTTCTATCAAACAGATATTCCTTCCAAAGGTTGGGTGAGTGTTCTTCTCAGCATGGAATGGCCACTACAGCCTGTTTTGCCTTCTTAGTTTAGATAAATAGGCATCTAAACTAATGCAAAACTCCAGGGAGAGGAGTATGTACTATCAACGCTTATACTTGCATTTTACACAATATTATCAGTGAACAGGAAATACACCACATTTTTAATCAAACAAGTTGAGATTTTATGTCTTCTTCATAGTCAACAGCATCTCTCTGTGGAAATTTTAGGGGAGTTCTTGAAGGGCAGTGATCAGTATATGTGCTTTAAACCATCAAACTGGATCTCACCTGCTATCAAGAAGTAATGAAAACTTCATAACATGGAAGACAAATACTACATGCAGCTGTGTAATATTTTATTTTCAGTCTTGAATGTCAACTAGTTACAATGATTTGCCTTAAGGTTCAAATATATTTGTTTAACTTTTTTTTTTATGGCATGGTATTCTTCTTTTTTTCCTACTCTTGATAAAAATAAAAAACCCTTTGAAAAGCAATTCAGGCATTTTTATGCCCTCCACTGAAAGTATGATAATTGCACTGCATGAGCACTATATCCATTAAAACTTACATTAGGCGTGTTTAAAAAATTTCCTGTTTTGAACAGTTTTTCAAAAGTAATATAATATTTGAATTAGCTTAAAAGAGAGTATGGTTAAGTTCTAAAAGGTGCATGTTTCTCCATTTTAGAGTAGAATTCACACAAAAGAAGGCTTGTGAGGATAGAGGAGGCAATTTGAAAATGAACAGCTTTTCTTCTGTCATTTACAAAAGTGAAGGGAATAAAGATGGAACAAGTTGTTGTAAAATGTCAGTTTTCAAAGGAATAATGACTGGAAGTTGTTCTGAGTACGTAGCATACCTTGAATAGAAAATTCTTGTATTTAGAGATTCTATCGAAGAGTTGATAGCTTCAGATTTTATATACTCTATCCATTACTTATAACATTGTTTATAATTTTTGACACACCTGACTTCAAAGAACTGGTTAAGCATTCAAGAAATGTGTACTGATTTTTTTAAATGTTATTTACAAAGTCTTAGGAAAAGCGAGAGCAGCTGCAAAGAAATAATGATAAACAGTCTGACTTGTTAAATTCTAACTCTTCACCAGCAGAGGTTATTTCTATGTACACACTTACTGCTCTAGCTGCTGAATCAGCCCTTCTACAAAACAGGCAGTAGTAATAATGCCCTGGAAGTTAGACCAACTTCTGAGATGAAAAACATTAGCTTTGCAGACTGAGGATTCTGGATCCCTGAAGGTGTTCAAAAAATGTTTAGACATTGTGTTGAGGGATATGGTTTAGTGGGAAATATTGGTGATAAGTGGGACAGCTGGACTGGATGATCTTAGAGGTCCTTTCCAACCTCAGTGATTCTATGATTCTCTCAGTCAAGAAGACCTACAGTTTGTCAGGAATTGCTAGGAATTCACAGAAATCTCCTTGAGATTGCCTGATGAAAGAAAAAGAGTAATAACCTTTGTCCACTGCAGTAACTTTTTCAAATAGCTATCTAAGCAAAGTATTAGCATTTTCTGGAGTGCACCTCAGTGCAAGAGCAGAGCTGGATCCTCCCCGGGAGCGTGGCAGGAACAGGTATTGCAGCTGCTCTGGGGCCACCTGGATGCTTTGCTCACGTGTCTTGAAGTGGAAGAAAACTATTCCTCTGAATTGCAAATGAGTGGGTGCAAGGACATATCTGCCACTTGGGTGTGTGAGATGGTGGCAGATGAGAGCAATGCGAATTCCTGAGTATAGTAAATGGGTAAATGAAGAAATACTTGTAGTTTCTCATACTTGGAGCACTTGTTAGTTCCCTAGCTTTTGTTTCTGGCTCATATCCACACTATACCACTGTTAGTTAACTTGTCTGTCTCTGAGTCTTTTTCCCAGAATACTTATTTAAAGGCTAATAGCTACACAGGATTCTTTTCTATTTGACATCCACTGTAACATCAGTCAATTAAAGAAATTCAGATAATGGGTCCTTTATCTCCAGTTCAGAATTCCCTTGCTGTTCACCTTTGTGGAACCATTTATCCTGTGTCTCTGGTATTGTTTCCCTCTTATCCAATCTTGGCCATTTCCTCCACTATAATCTTGTTTGGTTGTGACTCTTGGGGGACCTGCCTTTCATTTTTATTGCCCCACCTACTGGAACATTTCTTTTGCTCAGTATTTTATTTTAAAACTTTCCAATTTTCTATAGTCTGACTTACTTCCTCTCTGTCTATGGAATTTTGTGAAAGCAAGGAAGAGAAATGCTTAAAATAAATTGCAGTGTATTTCTACTGATACTTATGAACTTCAGTCTTTATAGCAATCAGATTTGAGCTCCAAAAACTTTCACATGGAAATGTGTGGAAAAGGTAATTTACTCATCTTCTCATCATGGAAATACCATGTCACTGTGCATTATTAAGTGGGTTTTACTTCAAAGTTACATGTTGTGCAAAAGAATGAGTTGTTAGCGATGACATTTAAGAAAAGGATTACTGTAACTTATTTTAAAAGGTAATCTTATTTCTCTTACTCATTATGACTCACTGGTTATGACATTTGAGTTAGAAGCATACCATGTAGAGATAACTTCTCCGGGTGTTACTTGTAATCGGTGTCTGACAAATAGTGAGTAGCAGGAAATCAAGACAACAAAGGTTGTCTGTTACGCTGCGTTTGAGGGCACAGGAGAATGTTTTTAATCTTTGACCTTCCAGTAAAGAATTTTGAAATGAGCAATCGAATAAATATTTTACTGGAACAATCTAATTAATATCAAATAAATATTTTACTGGAAGCAAATCTAATTAAAGAAATATCACTTGATTTCCCATTAGTAAATAAATGTTCATTTTTAAATCTATACAGAAATTATAGATTGGTGTAGACTCTCAGCAACAAAAAATGAGACTTAAAACGTCATAGGAAATTATCAGTGTCTAAAAGAGGAAATAGGACTATTTTTTAATACTAAAATTCTAAAAGATATGGAGGAGGAAAGGAGTAGATAATAAATACCTCTTACCAATGATTTTCTACCATCAGCAAATTAGAATATAACAGAAACAAAAGTATCTGTTTGTGAAGAAAAAAGGCAGTCAAATCAATTCAGTAACCTACCAATATTATACTAAACTCATTGTAGAATGTAGATATTACAATTTTTTTTTCCATTTTGGTATAATACTGTCTTGTTACTGGGCTTATAACAACTTGAATACTTTACATGCTGTCAGAATGTGAGGAGTAAAGCTAATGAAATTAATTTTTTAAAGCCCCATTTATGTGTATTCTGCTTGGAATGTGCATTTCATTTTGATTTGGGTTTTCCTTTTTGGAGACTTTCCTATAAAGGTTAGCTAAAGCATAGAGGGAGAGTACGTTCCATCTGTATGTGCCTGTAACATCCACTTGAGGTGAAGTCCTGTTTAACGTCTGTTTACCATTGAACTGTGGAAGGAACGCGGTACATTTTAGATTCAGTTGTCTAAAAAGTACTGATGATAATACAGTGTTTATCATCCTTTAATCTTTCAATTCAAGAAGAAACAGAAATTTTTTTTTCTGTGAAATGTTTCTTCTAGTTAGCAGATAAGATGCTATCTGCCCATTATTGTAACACTGTTTTCTGGAGCCTCTTTTCATACAGATAGTATTTTTCTGTACTTTAGCTAGATAATTAACAAAACATTTAACTAGAGCTGCTGACCTATTTACAAGATATTCATTATGCTATTTAGCATAAGATAGGGCCGATATTTACCTTTCATTAAGGAAACACCTTTTCTTTCTTTCTTTTTTTTTTTTTTTTCAAATGTTTTCAAATGTACAGACTGGAGGAGTTCCACATATTTGCCAAGAAAGTAGTATAATCTTTTGAAGGGTTGCTTCAAGAAACCTGAAATAGGGTTACACAATATGAAGTTGTCGCTACAGTTGTAGATATTCGTAGAGATACATACAGGTCTAACTATTGGCTTGTCCTAAGCCAGTTTATATGTCATCATACTCATACTCTGCTCCATTCCAGACAATGTATGACTTCTATATTTGGAGAACAGGGAACAATCTACTAACATAACTGAATGGCTTTGCTGGGGAAAGCGGTGGTCCAGCAAAAATATTTCTGAGCCTACCTGATAACCCCAAAGAACCTGACTCGACATGATCAGTGGTGTCATATTCTGCCTGTTATCTACTTTTTTTTGCCCAGATTAGTTCTCTATAATGAAGGATCGATAGTATTATTTTCTTTTGGCCAGTTACTAACAGCTGATTGGGAGACAAAATGGCCTGATGGTAACATAAAGGCTAAGGACACAAGGAATAGTTGCAATAACTTTGCAGATTTTCAGCAGATTGTAGAGCTGCATTAAAATATTCTAAAGAAACATCATATAGTAATATAGTAAACAAACTTAACAGGATCACCTAAGCTTGAGGTACAGGATTACTGAACAGCATGCTATGCTAACATTCATAGCAGTACAGTGGATGTGGATAACAAAGCACAAATATGTCATATAACAGTAAGGAAATAACATGGATTTTAGTGAATTTATTTTAATCTTCAAGTATTTTACAGCAGGAATTTATTCCTAAAGAAATAAAGATGTTTACAGACAGCTAACAAACTATGTACTAACTTATTAACTGTATTTTCTACAAATATAATTCCACAAAAGTTATCAATACTGAGTGACATGTGGAAAAGCCTTCTCAGAGGATTAAGTCTTAAAAAATGAATCATGTCATTTCCCAAAGACAAATCAAGAGGTGCTGGCCATATGGTGGAAAATATAGGCAATCTGGCTGGATGTATTACGTCTGTTTAAAGACACAAATGGAAAATAAATGCAAAGTTTGACATTTTCATGTATCACAAGTGAAAACGCATAATACTGTACTTGTACAAAGAAACAGCAGGGTGTGATAGTTAGGACAGAAGATATGGAAAATATTCTCTTACTACTTGTATGCCTTAACGCGTATCAATGGAGCTGCATCACATAATTCAATAGATTATCTCTTCCCTCCCCTTCCCTGTGTGCATACAAAGTTTGCTTAAGGTTCACTGATGTATTTAGCACCTGAACATAACATGCTAGAATAAGGATTCAAGAAAAATGCCTTAATGATGTGGCTGTGCATATTACTTGAGTAACAAAGCTATGAAATAATGAAATATTTTTGTTCCACTGTTTGTACTATTCTTCACGTTCTGATGAAAAGTTTCAGTACGCTACACGTGCTGTCTTTCAAAGCAAACAAAACACCAATTAAAAATATAAAAGTGAAACACTGACAAATTCATATTCCATGGCAGCATTGTAGCTATTAACATTGCTTCTTTGTTATTCAGTAGAAAAGTCATTCTGACATTAGTAATTTTTTAGCACTTGTTTTTAGCAACTTGTTCGTTCACTCTTGTTCTTCAAGCATCGTTGTGATGTGTTTCCCTTTCTGTAAGTGGTATAATCAGGTATTGAAAACCTGCATCAGTTTCTTCCATATTAAAAAAAAAAAAAAAAAGCATTGAAATTCATATGCACAAATCTGAAATAACTTCAATTTACATTTTTATTATTCATAATTGTTCAGAACACATGTAAACTGAAGATATACTGGAGAGGGATGCGTAATATGATGGATCATAACATCTCAGTCTAGCATATAAAAGTATACTATTCTGTTACATGACAACTTAATTTGTACTTTATATGTTTCCAGCTCCAACTTACAAAGCCTCCTCTAGCAATTTTTGGAAAATCTGTTCATGAAAATCTGTTCATGTTGTGGTTTACTCATTTTGAATATCATTCCAGCATGAAGCATTCTCTCCAAGAAGTAAAACTTGTTCTAGCTGCTCATAAAATTTTCCCCAGAAGTGTTTATAAAAGCTAGTAAAAAAGAAAGTGCTCATTATTTTTGATAAGCAGTGAAGGACTGGAAATACATATTTCAACCACAGAGCTAAAGATACCTAAAAGTGGAGAAGTACACGTATGCATTTTAAAATTGACAGGCATGTCTTAAAAAAGGTAAATTTTTGTGAACAAGTCATTTCAGAATTCAAAACTTCAACTTTCTTTTTGCTGTGGCTAAACGGAGGGAAATTGCACCAAGCCTCAGCAAATGTCAAAATCAGTTTTAAAATATTGGGATTTAAAGGAGGTATAATACCAATAAGTCTAAAACTATTAGGGCCTCCTAGTGAGAATATACAGGACTGGTTTATGTAGTTTTTGACAGAGAACTTAAATTAGCCCTGCAACATGGATGGTGTAACTTTTCCTGCTGTCTGGGAAAGAAATGCTGTCAAGCTCTAAGTTGTGGTGATGGCACTTAGTTTGTATGAGTCTAATAAAAGGGCAGAGTGTATGCATGTTTCTCCGATTTTAGATTTTTTTTCTCTTGGTCAGAACTTTGAAGTCTTTTTAAAGCTTTGTTCTCTTCCTCTTTGCCAGGCTAATAAAAAGAATTATTATTACTACCACATTTGTGTCTCTTGGATTTTATTTTGGCTAATGCAAGCATTTTTACAACATGATCTTGGACAAAGGAGCAATTAGAATTAAGGAGCCTTATCCAACAATTACAGCACTTACTGCAATTATAACAGTAACTTAGTAAGTTGATGACTTACTGAGTTACCCAAATGATACATTTTTATTTTGCTTTTAAAGTTAGCAAAAGCTTAATGCTTGGGTTTTGTAATGAGCCTGTGGTAAGCAGATTTGTAGTCTGAAGCCTCCGTCTGCCACACTGTTAGGCATCAAAGGAGCCCTGTCCTACCAAGCTTTCTATTTTCACAACAGGATATCTGGTTTCTTTTATGAGGATACAGCTATGTTAATTTGGTTTAGTGGTTTGTTGGAGGTAAGCATGCTCTTCACAGCACAAACACCAAAATCCCCTTAAAGCAGTTCCTTGTTAATAGCTGGGGTCTGATTGGCAGTTTTGCATTGTAAAGTGTGATTTGGTTGGATAAATATGTTTAGTCTAGTAAGCACTTTAGTGATTGAGTGTCTGTTAATGGATAAAGGTGGATTATGGCGAAACCTCTACAGGCTGTCATTGAGCACTTAGAGTTGTGAGATGTCATGGGGGAATGGAAAACAAACAGGCACTGTGGAAAAACTCACTAAATATCTTTTAAATATTCAGTGTTATTTCAGTATTTAGGTTTAAAATCATATTCATTTGAGAAGAACAGAGCAGAGCAGACTATGCAGCTTGTAGCCTTCTCATTTGGCCTTCAAACAGGCATAATTGCTATGTGCATCTGGGAATATTCAGAGAACTTCACAATCTTTCTTGGCAGATATAGCCAAACAGCCACCAGATACCTGGAGGGTAAATGCAGAATAGCACTAACTTTTCTTAAGAATCTACTGTAAATCCTTTAATTCAGAATGAAATCAAATGTAATTTTTTGTGTTTCCTTAACACCTCAGGGAAGGGTTTTATAAATCAGGTTGCTTACTCGTTGTGCAAGTCTACATTCTACCTTTTTTATTAAGGTCTTCTCCAAAGTAAAGTTTTCTGCAAGAGCCATCCTTTCTCCATCTTCTCACCCCAAGCACAGAGATGAAGATCTTTCTTCTCTTACTTTTAAGAAAGGTAATGTGATCCTCTATATAAACCACCAACGAACGTCACTCTTTTTCCCCTACTTAGGTGTACACATCTTTTTTATGAGGTGGTAAATATCAGCTTACTTTGGGACTTGGAATGGCCTTGAGGCCAAGTGGCAGATATTCAGGCACATGTAGAAGTCTCCACATTTCGTGAGCTTTAAAACTAGTGTGTCCTTACTCGTAGTCATTTTATAGTGATTTGCAAGGTTTTTTTTTTTTTAATCATCTTACAGAAGTGTGGTATATGTTAGCAGGTGAAGTAGATGCTCAGAGTATTTTGGTGTACACCTGAAATGCTTAGACAAATAGAGCTGCTGTGTAAGTCTTATTAAGGTCTTTAAAAGTTAAAATCTGTTCTGGTCTCTGATGATTTGTGTGTGTGTTGTTGTTTCTTGTTTTTCTTTTTTTTTTTTTTTTTTTTTTTTTATCTTTTGGGTTTGGTGGGTTTTTTTGGAAGGAGGAGGGAGAAGGAGGTTTGTTTACAAGGAAAACCCTGGAACTCTCCTTTGTGTTCTCTTTTATTCCTTCCTTTTCAAAGACATATGAGGCTGATCCAGGCCTTACAGGTGATACTGTCACACGTCAGTATTAGTTCAAGCACACAAAACCCACAAAAACTCTAGTGACAATTTTAGAGTGGAAAACTTCCTCCTGCTTAGTTTTCAGAAAATTCTGACAACTTCACTATAAGCCTACAGGTTTCACAGACACTTTTTTCATATGATTACAACTATCTGCATAGGAGGATTACTTTCTGGTCAAATCTGGAGGAAATAGAGAGTGGCAGCTTCAATTTTAATTGTGGTCTTTACAGCTAGGAACTCTGGAGGAGGACATACATATTAGGTCTGAAATGTCTTTAATGGTCTTGCCAGGATCTTACAATAGAGTTGGACTCTACTATAGTATACTATACACTAAATAAGCTAGATAGTCTTAAAACCTATATCCAGTCAGGCAGTATCTTGGAGACAAATTTTTTTTTTTTTTTTTTAGGATACATGCTATGATTCCCATCTTGCAGTAACTGAACTAAGAGAAAAAGATTTGTAGGCTTAATCTTTCTCTGTGCTTCTTAACACAGCTCTTCTTATTTGAATGTAAGAATAATTTGGCATTGTAGTCATTATTAGTTTCATCTGACATATTTGCTTGTAATCACAAAAATCTTGGTCGTAGATGTCAGTTATTGTTGATAATAAGGTACAAAAAGGGAGGGAAGTTTTTAGAAATACATAAGGATATTATTTCTTAGATATACCTGTTTTGATTTAGAGACTGCTTAGAGCCCATTATAGAAAAATATGTACTTCTTAGTATGCTAGACCACTGGAAGATGAAAAAGAAATACAACTGAGGAAATTAGGCAGATAAATTTATTTAATTTTCTGGTCCCTTAAAAAGTTAGTGCTTCTTCATATGGAAAGCCAGCTTTTTTCATAGAAAGAAAAATAACAATGCAGGGCTCATTAGAGATCCAAGCTGTGAAATACAGGCCCTTGTTCTAAAATGTGCTGCCAAGACTGAAACTATACTTTTAGAGGATCTTTTTTTTTTTTTGCTGATTTTACAAGTAAATTAGGAGCTAAAATGAAAATGTGGTAGTTATTTGGAGAAAGGCTAACATTTGAAAATAGTTTGAGAAAGCAGCTGATTGAGTGAGTACAAAAAGAGAACGCTGGTATGTTTGGGGAATCTGTGAAAGCTTAAGTAATGGAGCAAGATTTGAGGTGGATGAGGAGAAGGAAGCTGAGGGAAGAACCAAAAGTATCAAAGCCCTGTTGACGGTAAGACAGGAATAATTATGAAGACAGGAAAATTTTGAGACAAGACTAAACAGCTGGCTTACAGAACATTAGGGGCTGAAAGGAACAGAACAGAAAAACATGGAGTAAGAAAGGAAGGACACTGGGGGAATTAGAGGTAAATAATATAATATTGAAATGATGACAACTTTGAGATGTGAAAACTGCAGGCAGGCAAGGCAAGAATGAGTCAGAAGATATGGGTTATTTACAGGAAAGAAGAAAGATACAAAAGGTGGAGAAAGAAAGCCATCTGAAGGGGAAAAAAATGTAAGTAAAAGATGCAGTGAGACAGCAGGAAGAGATGCTGAGTAAATGTATCATTTGAGAGAAAGAAAGCATTGATTCTACATTGCGTTTTCTGGTTGCTTGTAATGAAGTCCAGACATATATGGTAAATATAAAATCTGGGAACCTTAATTCTGTGCTATGAACAACTAATGTGCTTTATAAAAAGAGATAAAAATTAAAATACTGGTGATACTGTAAATGGTTTGTGATAGATGCATTAGTACAGTGAGAAATACACGATCCATGAACATGGGAACTTTTGGGTTACCATCTTAAAATCGTGCCAGTGACTTTAAGACTAAGTGGAAGTGGGTTTTCAGGAATGACAAATAGTTTCAAGATATCTTAGCCCTCTATTTCTGTTTCTAATGCTTGCAATATTTCTGTTGCTTTTTTCTTTTTTTTTTTTTCTTTTTTCTTTTTTTAAGTTATGGCTTTGAAAGCTAAAAGTTCTTTTCCTTCCTAATTTGCCATGTAAGGACTTCGCATTAAAAAACAGGATGAAGAAATGGACTTGCTCAAAAGGGAAACAGTAAAAATTACACACAGCGAAGTGCTCTAGGTGCATGAACTAATCAAACAAGAGAAAACAGGCATTAAAGAGCAGGTAAGGAAGTCCTTTTAAGTGCTGTAATTTGAAGTAGTCTCTTTCTGTATGGGAGGTAAACTTCTAAGTATAAATACTTGCTTAGTATTAAATATATGAATACGTATATGCATACAGTGCAAACATAAATACTAGTTGGGTTTCTTAGGGGAGGGGGTTTTTGGTTTTACTCTACAGCCTTGGTTATAGCTTTCACATCTTGCTTCAATGGTATTCAGTTTTTCTGCTTTGGTTAGTGTTAACCACAATACTGTGCTTCTACTCCAGAACTAAAATATGTGCAGCTTTTGTAGCTCTACTTCACAAATACCCAGCAGGCATCCAAACACTTTCGAGCAATAAATAAGACCCCACAAACAAAAGCAAATTAAACCTTCCACTTCTATTCATAAAAATATATAAGCAGCCTTCATTATCCAATCAGAAGCCTGTCTGTGGCACATGAAATAACTTGGTGGTCTTAGTCCAACTCCAACTGGACAGCTGTTTGGACCATAAAACTCCACCATAATTGGCTTTAACCGACATCCTTGTCAGCAAAATAGCCAAGCTTTGCAGGGGCACAGAGACTGAACAGCTTTTCTCATAGCCTAGAGGTGGTTCTTCTAGATTAGGCATGTGGGTGGCCTGCTGATAGTGGGAGAATTACTGAAAAAAATAAGTTACACTGATTTTTCTTATACCTTTTGTGTGTGTGTGATCAGAACAGAGTTCTACTCTGAGCTTTTCCTAAATATTAACTTAAATGTGTAGAATGTATATTGAGATTGAAAGATGTTTTGGTTATTGTGAAATAAATTGTCTTTTGGAAGTCAATAGCAAAATAGCTTTTGGTTTCAAAGAGGCCAGAATTTTACTCAGTGTTTAAATAAACACTTTTATTTAATGAAAAAAATATATCTATAAACAAGTGGAGATTCTGAATCAAACTTTTGAATATGAGTGGGAAGGACAGTTCCACCATTGCCACTTGGCTAAATCCGGATCCACAGATTTATCCTATACTATCTAAATAAGTTGTGGGATTGTAGTAATCTTCTTGTCTAAAATTTAAATGAATGATAACGTAGCTCCCCCCTCCCCTCCCCCCCCCCTCCCCCCCCAAAAAAAAAAAAGGGTAAAAAATATAGTCTTGAAATAGAAACAAATGGAGAAAAATGTGTCTCACTCAGACTGAGAAATTTTTCAGGAACATCACACCTAGAGCAAGCCTTGAATAGATTGAAAGACCCTGATCTCCTCTTACTGCCAGGATTATCGCTCAGTAGGTACTGTAGAATTATAAAGTTACAGAAAGTACCTTTATGTATTTGAGATTGCTTCACCTGCTGAGAAATAAGAAGCATGAAGCATGCACCAAACTCCCAGTTTCTCTGTACTGTGTGGGAAACCTTGGCACCAAACATAACATGCAACTGGTCTGAAGCTGAAGATTTGCACTCTGCACCAGTGTAAATGCCTGTGCAGGGTGCAGCATAGGGGATATCTCGGCCTGTAATATGGAATTGTTTGAGTGCTGCAAGATAAATGTTACTCTAGTCTTCATTCTTGAAATTGTGCCTACTTTTTTCATTCCCAGTGATTGCTTCTTAAAGAGGCGCTGCCTTTTGTGTGCTGTCTCGTGTATGAGATCTTGACAAGCAGGAAAGGAAACTTAGGATCTCACAGTATGATGTGGAAGAAAAGAAATGTGATTGTTTTTTCTATTTAAAAAAAAAAGCAACGAAAGCACTGTTAAGTCAGATGGGCACATGCTTTGTGTAGCTCCCAAGGCCTATCTGAAGAGTACCGTATAAAAACAAAGCTTGGTGAAGAGGAAGCAGCTGCAGGAGCGATATAGAGCCCTTTCTTATAAACAAAGAGCACCACCAAATCTGTTGGAGCATGAATATTAGATTTGCTGACTTTTGCTGACATCACTGGGGGAGATAAACATATTACAAGGAGAGGAACAGCTTGTTGCTTGAGAGGTTGCCAGATGAGATAAGCGAATGGCGAAATGGCAAATGAAGACAGGGTGCCCATCCTGACTGGCTGAGCATAGCTGAGAGTTGCAACTCGGTGAAGTGCTGTAGTGAACGTAACTGCTCTGGAACAAGTGGATAAAAATGAACTATGAAGCTCTTTTTTCCTAATAACGAAGAGCTAACAGCTGCTTCCATCTGGGAACTGTGTGAAAGTGCCTTACAGCTGTACAATAATAAACAGCTAAAAACTCCGCAGAGCCTACTGCTCCATTTACATTCTTTCCCAATCTTTTGCCTCATTAAACTGTAATCTTCCTCCTAATTATATTTCATCAATCTATTGTTTATGGAACTCTAGATCAAATGGCAAACATATTGAAACAAAAATAAACTTATAATTAGTTGTCTTCTCCTCACCCCTCCTCCCTGTGTATTAGCAAGTGCATCATTATCAGGCCCCAGGGGTTTGGTGAGGCAATCAGTTTACATGGTGCACTTTTGGCAGCAAAGAATAAAAAAAACATTTGTAGCTGCATAATATGATTTACCAGCTCTAGGGCTCCAGGGTCTACACTTCCATAAATATATGTGACAAATTATCAATAAATCATTCTCTGGTCTACCATATTGCATAATGTTTATTGAAACCCAGTTCTAATAAATATAAAAGTCACCTTTTTTATCCAAAGCATAAGAAACAAAGATGACAGTGATTACAAACAGAAATGAAAAATGAGAAATAAGTCCCTTCACAAGCAACAAACCCTTTTTCTCTAGCATCGTTACAGCCTCAGTGTTGTTGGCCTCTAAAATCTGCCTTGAAAACAGATATGACCTTCAAGCTGTGATTCTGTTCTTTGATTATGACAGATATTGTTCTTCTGATTTTGTTTGCTATTCGTGTAGTTCCCATGTCTGATTCTTGATCTCTGAAGAAATCAGCCCAGTACTTTTTCAGCACACCAATCAGAACTACATTAGAAATGGTAAAATTCTTCCAAACTTGTCCAATCATAGATCAGCAAGGCACACTGAAACTGTTGGTTTTGTTCATTGCAAGAAATTGTTTGAAAAAGGAAACAAAGGGAAAACCAGAACATTTGCATGTTATTTAATGTTTACATTTTTTGCCTCTGTCCACTGAAAACTACAACTCTAAAACAGTTATGCTACAGTTTTCCTTTTTTCTTTCTAGTCCACTTTGTAACCACATAAATTGGACCAAATATTGCTATGGCATTCGCCCTTACTAAATATTATTTTAAGAAAATGAGTTTAAAAAAAAAAAAAAAAAAAGTTTGGGCTTGACTACATTTTCCCACCACCATCAAAAATTACTTTTTCAGATGCATATGCATTTCTAGCAATAAGTTGGATGTGTTTCACCTGTTAGAGATGCTAATTAAAACATGGGATTATACTATCCCTCTATTTTCTTGTAAGTCAGCATTTGGAAGTCACTAAACTTCTGTAACACTTGAAAAAATCAACTTACATATTAACTGAACTTCCCTAGTCTTTTGTATTCTGTAAGTCAAACATCAGATACCCAGAATAGACCTAGCTAGCAACTACTCTTCAGAAAGCTTAACTTCTCCACTAGTCTTCCAATCGGTCTTTTTCCCTAGGACTCATAGCTATCTTTGTATCATGAAAAAGACCTCGGCTAAAACACTTCATTCATCTTTCTTAAATTTCTGCAAGGTGAATCCTGCTCTGTAGGACATATAATCTATAAGTTCACTGGTTTGTTTTTCTGATGCAAATAAATTCCATCCAATTCAGATGCCTTCTGAAGGCAGAACAAGATTTTCTCTCATCACTTCCTTGGAAATGTTGTTTGTTGAGAACTGTAGAACTGAAACCAACATCTTCCCTTCCAGATTAGGAAAAATTTACTGTTCAGGCTTTCTCTCAACGCAGAATTTGTATTTGTTCCTTCCATTATTTGTTCTGAGGGCAGTACAGGCATTAGTGTGGCTGTGTTTGTAGGGTATGACCAAGTCCTTTCAAAGTTTTGGAGGAATTCCCTATAGGTTTAAGACTAATTCCTTGACCAACTATAATAATCCTCCTGAAATCATTTGCACTGTTCCTATGTAGAGGTGTTAGCACATCAGAACCTAATAGAATTTGAAAGAAGGAATGATTCTGGCACTCCCAAAGCATTAAAAAAAGAAAAACTTAATTGTTTTAGACATTGTTCCTCCACTGGCAGAGTGAGAAGTGCCACACTGGCAGCTGCAGCAGTGTTTGTAGCCAGCGTGGTTGCTCCATCCCTGGCTGCCCGGACAGACTTTCTGAAGTCCTTCTCACCTAAATACATGGGATCCAAGGAATCCAGGCTCACATCTCTTCCTGCAGAAGAGACAGCACATCCTCAAAACTCTGCTCAGAGGAGAAGGGATTCACCCTCTCAGCAGAGCAGAGCAGAGCAGCAGCCCTCATCCACAGGAAGGAAGCAGCTGCAGAACAGCCATGCATTAGAGAACTGGTGCTAGCTCAGCATCTCACATTTGGTGATGAGTGAGGAAGTGGAAGAAACTGAGACCACTGAACTGACAGACTATTTCCATTTATCGAAACAGGATGCAGTGAGAGATCTGAGAAATCTGGACTTTAAAATAAAGTCGGAAAATAAACTGATGTGCATATCCTGACATAAAGAATGACATCTGTGAGAGCGTCTGAGCAATCTGCAGGAGGATATCAGAATACTAACAGATGATTTTCATAGATTTGGATGCCAGAGCTATTGCTCAACATTCATATATTTCTGATTTCATATGATAAACTCTAATGAGGTCGTAGCCTGGAACTAGGGGGAAAAAGTAGTATAAAGCCTAGATTGATCGTAATTCCAAACAAATCTAGCCAAAAATTAGTATTTCCTCAGGGAAAAGCAGACTTGGCTGATCTGCTGTAACAATTCTGCAATAGCTTGACATAGGTATTCTACATCTGCCTTTCAAGGAAAACTCTGAAAATAATTTTTAAAAGTTGAAAGGAAAAGGAGAGAGAGAAAAAGAAACCTATCAAAAAGAAAGAAATCTTGCTGTAAGTGAAGGACCCAGAGATTTCTGCAGGCAATTAAATGATTGCAATAAACAACACGGGCTATTTTCTTTCACAGATATCACTGTTACAATTTCCTGAAACTTTTCTCTTTAGTTATGAGAAAAATTGAGCAATCTGCATTTATGGTTTTCATTGCAAGGATAAAATGTGACCTCATACAAAATTCCCAAATTCTTTAAATGCTTAATTATAAATTATTGAAGACAGTTCATGCCTAGGAAAAGTCTAGTCTGACTTCAGTATTATTTGAAATTATCAGTCACTTGCAGTATTTCATCATATCCTCTTCTTTTGATTTTTTTTAATAATTGTACCACATGTCGTCTAGAAAGTTTAGAGTTTATTGTAGTAATACACTGTCATCTTTCACCAGTGATCTAAAAGCTTTTACAGAGTTCACCCTATAAAAATCATCCAGTTCATTATAACATTGTGATCTCTTTCTCATAAGCTGTGTGTTATTTTTAACTAGCAATATGTTGACATTCATAGGTATTCATAGCTGTTAACTTCAGAACAAAAAGCAAAGGCAATCAAAAAAATACTTTAGACAACACAAAAAAATTACTCTCATCCTAAAGTTAAAATCCATATAGAGCTTTTTCATAGGAGTTTTCTGTCTTGCTACCTGATTGCTGGCTTATAGCCTATAAAAACATATGATGTTTGATCCTGAAGTTCAGTAATTCAGCAAGGAGTTACATGCAATTATTATATTTCTAACAATTCCTTGTCTTGATTGCACTCTAAAATCTGTTTCTCCTGTCAGAGCTAACAGCAGGGTTTTGTTTATTGTCTAGCTGATCATACTGATATAACACATCTATTTTAATACTGTCTGTATGTGTATTGATATCAAGTGCTAGTCAGCCAAGAAACAATTAGGGACCCTATACTGTAAGCACCCTAGTCCCATTAACCTCAGTGGAAGTCATTTGTGTGTGAATAGGAGAGACTTTGGCCCTGAATTTATCAGACAGCTGGAGTGTATTTTTATCTTATTCCTATGGTGTCAGTAGACATAACATAGCAATCTGTATGGTTTCATATAAATCCAGCTAGAAATGAGCACATTACTCTCTGCACATCATTTTTTTTCCCATATCTTTGGCCATGAAAGTATTTTGCCAAGACAGTGTTAAACTGATATAACCCAAAAAAGGGATTAAAACTAGCAGTACACCAAGCAGGTCTGTATGCACAAGTAGCTTCAGTTTGTACACCAGTTTTCCCAGATGTGTCATCCAGGACAACAAGACATTGTAGTGGTGTTTGTCCATCACACACAGACATTGCTAAGAATCCTCATTGAGGGGCAGAGCTATAAGTTAATATTAGAAAGAAATTATGTCCTATTCAATTTGTTCTAGTAAGAATGAAATTGACGAGATAGACCTATCCATGGGACAAGTCTTGTGAAGGCCAGGAGTTATAATGTTGCATAATGAATATTTAATGTGATGTGAATTGTCCTCAGCTGCTGCATATACTGTTGTGTCTGAAGGTAAAGTATAAAGACAGATTTTATACGCCTGACTTTAGCTGCCAACAGGAGATTCTCCTCTTAGTCAGGTTTTGCAGAAGCCCTAAATGTTAAGATGCTGGTGCTAAAAGTGAAAGCTGGCAGGAACTGCTGTGATGATTTCCCTCCTCCTTTGGCTGGCTTGCACTTGGTGAGAAGCTGTGAGAAAGAGACTGGGAACAGTGCTCTTGGGTGAAGCACCTATGGCACACCCTGAGGATAAGGTAGGCAAAGGGAAAGCTTTGTCAGCTTCACATTTTTTTGTTGGATTTTTCTTTTTCTTTTCAGATTAAATCCTTCTCTTTACTCGTGCAGAATTTTTATTTGCTTCTTGGCTACAGGATAGGACCTAATACATCACTGTCTGCATTTGGTCTCAATAAATGTTAGTGAATATTTTCATCACTTAAGAAGTTCTGTAGGAAATGGGGGAAAAAAAATCCATTGTGATTATCTAGCTAGCTGTCTCCTTGAGAACAGCGACTGTTAACTTGTCTTATTTACTTCTCTGAAGAAATAGAAGCAAATAGAAAATAGAAGAAGAAATAGAAACAGAAGAAGAAATAAAAAACCCATTAACATTTTGTATGGCTGTCTAGGCAGTTTTAAAGTTTGTTAGAAAACATGTTTTTAATCAAAAGAAAAAAAAAAAACCCACACTTCATTCTTTACTTCTTCCTTATATTATGAATTGATCTACCTAAACATTTTTGCTAGATTCATGATATTATGTTTTCCCACCTCACCATAAATTCTACTATGGTTTCTGCATTGAGTACAATTTGTAACAAAACAAAACACTATGTTTGTTTAAAGAATATGAAAAGTTACCTGTAACGTTGTTTAAACTGCTGCAGATAATTGACTTTATACTGTTGCATGCTGACATTTCAACAGCACTACTGAAATCATTCTCATCCTTCTATAATTTTGACTTTTTTTGAATTTTGACTAGGGCTCTTGGAAATACAGGATTCAAACTTAGGACCAAATTGTTGCATCTTAAATTTTTAATTGATACTAGATGAAATCATAGAATCACAGAATTGCAGAGGTTGGAAGGGACCTTTGGAGATCATAGAGTCCAACACACTTTGCTGGATC